CTGCTGCTGCTGCTGCTCTTCTGCTCAACTAAATTAACGAAATCAATCATCAGCCCATCAGAGTGAGAGATGACTGGCTGCCTGTCTGTCTGTCAGGACAGGTGCCATGTCCTTGCCACGGCTCCTTCAAGACAGAGCAAGCACGCTTTGGGCCAAAGGGCAACCCATGCATCATTCGGTGGCACGCCGCCTAAGCCCCACCATCGACATGATTTTACGTTAATTGAATGCGTAAATGCGGTGCGGTGCGGTGCGGTGCCCTTTGCCCCATGCCAAAGGTACGGCAAAGCTTTTGCAGTGTGCATTTTCGGGAGGCTGCTGCTGCTACTCCCGCCGACTTTTAATTATACGTAGCTGCAGTCCGGAAACTTCCATCGAAGGGACGAGGGCACAGAGAAAAACAGGAACCAAATGGCCTTTTGTCACATTTTCATCGCGCACACACACACACATGACCCCCACGATCCCCCACGACCGTGGCCTGTGCTCTTTATGTGAAGTTTTTAATTAACTGCCTTACAAAAAGATTTTCCTCTACTCTTCAGTCGTTTTTCCTTCCATCCGCTGTTTGCCTGCGGACTCGGGACTCGGGACTGGGGACTGGGACTGGGACTCTCCATCCAATTCCCCCATGCCGCAAATTGACATTTTTGTTGGCGAGTCTCGAGCGTACCTTTTAGGTTCTCCCATTTTGGGCAGTTTTTTCTCTAACGAGCGAGGAATTTAATAAGCCAGAAATGTTGTCACAAATGTGTGTAAGTATGTGTGTGTGTGGGGGTGTGTGGATGTTTGCAGGAAACCCGAAATAAATTTTGAAAAATCAGCAAAACTCTGGCGATGCGACGCGACGCGACACAGCGCGCCATTCGCTAATTAAAGTCGATCCAGTTTGGGGGCGAGCCTGCCTCGTGCAACGAACTGCCACCACGGCTAATGACAAATGGTTGTCAGTTTGTCAGTTTTGGTGCTGCTGCAACTGCAACGGCAACGGCAATGGCAACGGCAACGGCAACATCTGCCGCACAAGCACTGAGCGAAAGAGGAGAGCAGCTCCCTCGTACCAGGATCATTTGGAGGGAAATTCGGACTCTTTTTTGGCATTGAAATCTGCTGAAAACTACACTAGACTTTTGCAACATTTTTCCAGGTATTTCCCGTGGATTTTCCTAGCTTTTTCGCAGTGCATAAAAACAGAGAGCAGGAGAAAAGGAAGTTCGCTTTTTTTTTGCACCTCTATTTGGGGAATGCCAAAAGGGCAAGCTGCCCTGCCCTGCCGGAGGGACAAGTTTTTCGAAATGAATTGGAAGTAATGAATGAATGAATGAATGAATGAATGGTGGAATAAATGAATGCACGAATGAATGAATTGTTGGAGGAAGAGACAGGCAGGCAGGCAGGCAGTCCTGCAGCTGCTGCTCGCTCGCTCGCTCATTCCTTCGTTCGCTTGTGCCTGTGCAATTAACTGGAAAAATGCTGTCACAATATTTAAAAGTTTTAATTGTTTGTTCAATTGCAATTGCAATTTCGAAACTGGCTCCAAACTTTTGCACTCTTCTATCGCCTCCATCCTCTGGCCCCTGCCCGCTTGCACTTCCTCGCTCTGTGTCTCTTGACTTTGTGGCTCTTGTCTTTTGCTCTCTCCATCTCCGGCTTTGTGCAGAAGCGGGGGAATGGATATAAAGTCAGTGACTCCCGCTCTCTGATTTCTCTCACTCTCTCTCTCTCTCCCTGTCTCTCTGTCTTCCGCAGACAGTTGTCACTTGCTTCTTCTCTTTGGCTTCCACACCAGCCCCATTTCTCTTTCCCATTGCTCTGGCTCTGCAAAATAATTTAACATGAATATATCGCATTTCATGGAGTCGTACATCACAGAGCCCGACCCGCGAGAGTCAGGCATCAGCCAGAAGGCAGGCTGCTCTCCCCAGGGAGAAGCACAGTGTGGCAGTGTGGCAGGGGCAGGCGTGGTTGGACAGCCGCCGGGCACACTAGTGACAGGCACTAACATAAACCACAATAATATCCCAAAGTCATGAAGGAAGTAACCAAGTGTGAATTTTCGGTTTATGCCTTTTGCGTTCGCTTGCTGCTTGCTTTCGTGTACGGGCTTGGGTCTGGTCTGCCATTCCGGTTATCCGGGTGTCAGTTACGGGTGGGCTACGATACTCCTGGAAAGCGGTCTGGCCGTTTGCGAGGATCTACGACTCGCTGTACGGCAGCGCCAGTGTTTGCACCCTGCAGGAGGTACAAGCAAATGGCCATGGCCATTAAAAGAATGTTCCGCGAATGCTATCTGAAAATGGAAATACACTTTCCCAAACAATAAATGTACTTCCACAAGCAGTGCAGCGTAGATCACTGTAGGGGATAAGCAGTGTCAAAGCAAGCAGTGCGAACTGCTCATTATTCATTACTTCGTATCCCCATTGTGGCCATAAAGTAAATCAAATAATTGTTGTAATATGTTATCCATCGTTTAGGCACGATTGGTTCGTGGATGGAGCGAGTGTTGCGTTTCCTCTTGAGTGATCTCCTCTCCCCTTCGATTTGCATGTATGAAGCGCATTCAGTGCATTCGCTGTGGCACGTATTTTTAGTGTTTTTCGCGCTCGGTTCTTTATCCCCAAAAAAATAAAAAAGCCACAACATCGTTCCCCACTCCGCACTGCTCCCCGACCGCTCCCTGTGCACTGCTTGGATGAACACCCCTTTGCAGTTGTTTTATTTGCGCTTCCGTTTCGCGGACAGTTTGCTTTGCTGTGTTTTTACTTCATCTTTCTTACTTTTCTCCCTCTCTCTCTCTCTCTCTCTCTCTCTCTGTGGGGGCCTTCTACCATTTTCTTGTTGCTGTTTTTTTTGCTTACAACAGAAAAATGTTGCAACAAAACATTTACGACGTCATCGTTTCACAATTTTCATGCTGTAACCCCCCGCTAGACCCTAAGGATAGACCCCCTGTCACTTCTTCTTCCTCACTTTATCCATAGCTTTCTCCTCTCCTTTCACTCCTCTCCTTGCTGCCCTAGAATCCTTGTTGTTGTATTTCTTCATCGGCCCACGCCCCCCCCTCACAAACACAGCACGGGGCATATGAACAAGTTTGAGGGAGAGCTACAAAAAAAAAAGCCCGGATCCCAAACCTTGTGTCATTTATCATGCATTTCCACTTTTGGCTTCCGCCGACCGACGACCAACGGCCGGGACGTGGCCCCTGCGCACAGGCAAAACGGGCGGACAGTTAGACAGATGGGCAGACGGATGGATTGCCGGACAGAGAGTGAGAGAGAGAGAGAGAGAGGGACGAGCGGGACCAGTCCAGTTGAGTTGTGGTGGAGCACAGCCACAACGGGGGCTTGGACAGTGATTTTTCCCTGGAAAGCGGCGGTAAGCTTTCCTTTTCGGACGATCACTGCTTGAAATTGCTTGAAGCCAGCAGGCCATGGGTGTGATTTCTGCTTGCTTTAACTGTTTACCTGCACTGCTTATCCACTGCTTTGATCCTGTACATACTGCTTGCTATCATGCCTGTGATTCAACCTGCTTTCTCCCCCTGCTATCATGCCCTTTGGTGGGCAATACGCAACGGGCCCACACACACGCACACACACATTTCAGTGTCATTTCGGTTCTCGTTTTTGGTTTCCTCTCCCTGGAGGGCGGGAGACAAATGAAGCAAGACCCAAATCATAGACCGAAAACGAATTTATGCGATTTCTTTTGCTGTGCAATCGAATGCCTCTTCCTCCCATGTCTCCCCTTCTACTTTTCCGTCAAAAGAATGACAAAAACCTTTAAGCGCAATTCAAAATTAATCAAAAGAGCCAAAAAAAAAAAAAGGCAAACACAAAAATACTTCACCGAATTCTGTTAAATTAATTTCCTTCGGGCCAAGCAACATTTTCTACCAAACCGAACCGAACCAGACCCCAGCCCCCAACCCCCTGGAAAAGTTGACAAGTCATTTGCAAAAATTTGAATATGCAAATATTGAGTGGGAGGTGGCGCTGGCAGTGGGAGGGCATTGGGAATAGGAGAGAAAAGACGAACGGACAGGCACTCGAGTGGATCAGTGGCCTAGGAAATTATGAAAAAGTTCTTGGAATTTGTTTGCCTACTGAAATGCTGAATAAATTCTTTCCCTTTTTCTGTTTCCTCCTTTTTTTTTGGCAATTGATTAAGGCATTTTGTGGTTCGTGGTGTGGGGAGAATGGATGATGGAGTGGCACCCGCAGGTGGCATGACTGGAGGTTTCATAAGATGACAGCCGCGCATTCATTTTCATTGGCTGCTTTTTAACCCTCTTTAATCGATCCGAAAGCAATGAAGAAATAATAAAGTTTGCGATTTTATACACAACGAATACCAATTTCCAATGAGCGAGTAATTAGAAGAGAATCAGGAGAGCTCTTACATTGGATTCCGAATCTGCATGCACATCGAATACAGCCAATAGAATCTTGTTAGCACTGCACCACATGGGTTTTGGTCCAAAGTCCATCATCACCTCTGCACCCTGTCACTGCGCATTTCTTTAGAATTTTCGCATACAAACAAAGTTTTCGATGGCTTTGACATTTGCCGCACTTTTGTGGGCGGGCCAACGAATAGGAGCCAAACATATGCGACGCCATTTGGTCGGTCGCTGGCGCTGCTGCTGCTGCTGCTGTCTGACTGTATTTTCGTGTTTTTGTATCTGTAAATTTTGGTGTGTCTGTGTGACGCATACGAGTATAAACCGCAATGAACTTGAGCCAGCTGTCAATGTGATAAATAAACTTGTCTGCTGCCAAAAGGGTCCCCGCCGTCTGTCTGCACTCTGCACAGAGAGGCAGAGACAGAGCCAGAGAGCGAGACGGAGAGGGATTGCTGCAATATATAAATAATAATACGAGGACATGTCTGCCGTCTCGAAAGGAGTTGGAACGGCAGACATTTATATACTCACAGCATGGCCATGTACCTATCTCACAATTGACTTTTCTTTCTTTTCGATTCGTTTGCAGAGCAACACCCACAAAAAGACACAACACTCAGTCCACATCAGTCCTATATCTTCAGCTATGGGCGTGGCATTGATGAGCAAGAGGATGATGCTGTGGCTTCCACTCCTCGCCCTGATGGTCCTCAACAGCGTGGACGCATACTCCAGTACGTATACGTGATGTTGCCATCGCGAGGATGCAATCGCATTCCCCTCCAATGCGACTGCATCTCGCGGTGCTCTTTCATTTTGTTGTTCCCCGAAGAAAGAAGATCTGTCAAATTTAAATATCGAAAATGTACTTCATGAATTCATTCACCCTCTCCCATCATTGAACCATCATTCGATCCAAAGAGCAACAGACCAGAAACCTCCAGAGCCCTAGAGTCTCGAGAACCTCTAGAACCTTTTAATTTTATTATCTTTTTTCGTATAATTTCGACTGGATTTCCCCACACCCACACCCACACCCACACACACACCAATGAACACCACACAATGAATGACAATGACCCCCCAACGAACGTAATGATAAACCAAAAACCCCAAATGAAATGCACCTCGAATGCACCCTCCGAACTTGCCTCGCATACTGTAGAGTATGGACGCGGATGCGGGGACATTGGATGTCTGCCCAATGAGGAGTGCATCATCACCAGCGACTCGTGCAGCTACAACCAGAGGGACGGCAAGGACTGCGGCAACTATCCGACCTGCAAGCGCCGCACTGGCTCCAGCTCCAGTTCCAGCACGAACCAGGCAGCAGCGCCCTCTGTTAATCCGTCAGGTATTTATTTTATTATTTTGCCCCAGGGCACAACCCCCCGACCCAAAGACCCGTCCCCTGCCTGCCCTGTCCCTGTTTATCATTTCGCTTTTGTGCGGCGGGAAAATATCGCAGATTGGAGTGGGGCAAAAAAAAGGAAATGAAAAAGACTTGAAAATTTGGTTTTGTTTATTTTTATTTGACACACACAAACACACACACACACACACACACACACATACGTGAGAGCTTTTGCCAAACGATCAATCAATCAGCCAATCAATCAATCAATCAAACGCTCGCTCGCTCGCTCGCTCATTCATCGCCTCATTTCACAGCCAGTGCGCGTCTTGTGGCAGCATGCAACAATCATATCATGCAACAGGCATAACTAACCCTTAAACCCATATGCTCCCTCTATCTCTGTCTCCATCTCTGCCCCCCCCC